TTGTCCCCATGCAGGGATAGAGAGAGAGCAGAGCAAGAGCAGCAGTGGTCGAGCAAGATAGAGAGTAAATGAAGAGAGGGAGCAGCGTTATCTGTATTCGAATCCGTACTCAGAATGGGCGGGGCTTAAACCAGAGTTGCTTTGTTCGGAAGTGGGTGTGGCTAACAGGACGTTAAGACTGAAATTAATATGGGTTGATCAGAAGTAGAAGAAGCAAGAAAGAACATTTCTGATCACACGAGTAAGAGAACTATTTACAGAACATGTTTTGTTTAAACAAAAAAAAATAAATTCATACTATTCAGTACAGCTCTATCATGCACTTAAAAAAGATGTTCTGAGATAAAAATATAAGGTCTAAAGGTTTCAAGGTTTGAAAAAAAAAAAGTGACATAGTAGATATTGGCTTCTTTTTACTCACTTACTTTGTGGCAGGTAACACTTACTCACAGGTAACATAATTTCCAGGGACAGATGCATACTTATTGTGTCATTGCGTGTTTACCTCACACATACACATGCCAATGGTCATGGTCATTTCTATGTTAATCCCATTTGCACACATAATTTGTTCAGAATGTCAAGAGTTTACGAACACATTCACACAAATAGGAAAATCAATGTCTCGTAAACATTCAGTTAATTTGCTTCAGATGCAGACTTGCTTGCATTGTGGCTGAATGCTGTGAGTGGGAAGCTGTTAATAAGAAATACTTCATAGGAAAGTTACTTTTCATGTGTTATTAAATGCAGTTATTTCACTTTTTCATAGAATAAATGTTCCAAGGGCATTTTTGCCAACTCAATCTTTGCACATAGTTGTCCTGAACAAAAGTGAATTGTGAGGGTATGCTAGTTGAAAGGCTAGCTTAGAAAATTACATAAAAAGTCAAAGGTCTGGGTTCCCAGCTTAGGCTGACAGAACAAACAAACTTTAAGTTTGAGTCATCAAATCATTTATAGTGTAACTTAAGAGCAGGACGAAGGCTGAAGTTGTGTTTCCGTATCGTTATATATGTTATTCAATTCCGGTACATAATGCAGGAATGCTTGTTAATTTATTGGTGTAACTGCAAAGTTTAGCCAGCAGAGTGCGCTGTGTTTTACAATACTGTGCACAATGTGCATAAGAGAGAATGAGCAAAAACCAACCATTTACCAACCAACAAAATATACCTTGTGAGTCTTGTAGCGGTTTAGCTGGGGCCACAGAAAAGTTTTAAATCCAAGCAAGTATTGAGCAGAAGAAACAATCATCTGAAACAGAGTTCCAACCCAGACAAATCTGTAATTTTAGTCAGCGAAATGCATTTCATATCCTCTTTGCGCATACGTCAGCATTGTGGTTGTTTGCCAGAAGACAATAATGAATTGACTTTTTATCCAGTTTTATGCCACATTTTTCAGATCTTTTTTTTAGCTATATATTTGTCATTGTCATTAGACGTCTGGATCTTAAGTTATCAGAGAATTGAGCTGAGCTAACGTTAGCAGTAGCTCGGCTCACAGCCCCTCCAGGACTTCCTTTGTCTGCTGAACAGTGTCAGAGAAACACAGATTTTTAAGGTGAAACTGCTTTATTCACTGTTTTTACCAGTTTCAATCACCGGGTTTTGTTTTTGAGAGGAAAAGACCTGTGCGGAAAAGTAGGTTCCCTGTAGAAAACTCTTCAACGATGAACACTGAAGGAATCCTAACTGGGAGAAGCTGACAGCAATGATGGCAATGGTAGTTACGACTCCCATGATCCCATGCAAAGTCATCAAACTTTGTGTTTTGTTGATGTTTCGATGTAAGAGACCCATTAGCAGCATAAACTGCATACTGTATGTTTAACATAATCCACCAAGAAGAGTATATGTGAGCAAAAAAAGAATTCAGTTTGTTTTGAAATTATTAGAGAGAGAGTGAATAGAGTATTCTGTCTAACAATAAACAACTCTGTTTAACACAAAATCAGAGAATCAGCAACCATCACTTTGTTTCTGTATCTTATGCACACGTTGATTGTTTTGGGGACATTCTGCATTTCCAGGGAGACAGTAAATAATACAAAAGCTGAACGAGCAAGGCATCTATCAGTATTCATGGTAATCTGTGTTTCTATGATGACAAGTAGCCTCTCAGGCAGCATTTCCCTTCAAGCTGGAAACAAATTCCACCTTATGGAATAAGCATAACCATTTGATTGGTGGAGGTAAAACCTTTTAACTGTATTTTCCAGAGTCTAGTTTAGCTTTGCTATTAGGTTTTCTAACTCCTGGAACAGAACCTGGATGTTCCAATTTCACTGGCTCGCTATTATCAATCCCGAAAAATCAGCAAATCCTTAACAGACTATAAAGATTATACATACATCACATTCGATTCCTTAAAAGGCACTAGAACGGAACACAGCTAACAATTTGAAACTGAATAAAATCAACAACAAACAACGCAAAGCATGTCATTCAATTAAATATTAAATTAGTAGGTCATGCACTGAAAAACAATCAACAGTAGATTTGTCCAAGTTAGCATAATACTACCATTTTTACATGTGGTTACTGTGTGTGTGTGTGTGTGTGTGTGTCATGAAAGTAGGTCAGGCCTCACACTGATATTTGGTGTCTTTTAGTGAGATATTTGGCAGCTATTTTAGACTGACTCAACACTGCAAAAGGCTTCCAGAGTGTCTGAAAATATATCTTAAACAGCCTATGAACCCTGAAAGCTCACCGCTTTTGATCAAAGTGCCACAGAACAAGTGTGTGTCTGTCAGTGCATAGAGCGGCTGACATCAGGCCCTGTCTGCATTACTGCAAATGGAACATATTAGCTGCAAATCAAAAGCCATTGGCTGACATACAGGTAGCTAAATACAACTAGAAAGACAGACATAGTAGACATATTGTTTGACATGCTCTTGACATATAGTTCTACGTCTCCCTCTACGTGCAGCAGCACAGTGTGTTTTTACTGAAGGTAAATCTAAGCTCTGAGCTCTCTAGGATAATATTAACATTCAGTGTTCAAAATACCCTCCGAATCAGAGGGTTCATATCAGGCCAACATCAGCCACGCATTTTAAGTAAGCAAACACCACACAATTATTCACCTTATAGCCTATGAAAAAATGCAATTTTATAAAAAAAAAATAAAAAAAGTTAGAAAATGTACAAGCTCTCCAGACCAGAGCACTGAACGGGTCCAGTTTAGGAACCCATGTGTTTCCACAACCAAAAGGCTCACAATTAATTTAAATCAATTCCTGGCTGGAGAGGCCATTTTCTAAGATACGCCTGTAAAACTGAACACTATCTAGCTCGGCTAAAAATTCTGCATTAACAAAGATAATATTCACTTCTCATTGCAGAGAATATCAGAAACAGTACAAATCTAATTATGACCTCAATAATAAACACACATAAATTGTAACTGGAAAGTTTTTACAAAAATTGGCAATCTTAAGTTCCTTAAAGGTAGGTGCTGTTGTACCATACTTCTTTGGCATTCAGTGCCATACAACAAAACCAACCTTGGGTTCTGTCCAATCACAAACAAGACTTGTCCCTACCTTTTCTATTTTGGGATTTGCTGTTTAATGTTGGTATCGTGTTTTGTCTAATGTTGTTGTGTTTTGCAGGTATATGTGCAGATTGTGGATGTTTCCAGTGGGTTATAAATATATGGAGGACCAAAACTGCCAAAATAAATAACTAAATTAATTAGTATTAATTATTTTTACCAAAATAAAATAAATAAATGTAAGCATGTTGCCATTAAATTGTTCAATTTATTTGAATTTATTAATTTGTTATATTTTTAAAGTATTTATTTCTGTATTATATTCCTTTCGCATTCTTCCCTGTTTATTTACCCAAACTTATTTAATTTTGTCAAATTAGCAGTAACTAGAATTACCGCCCTGCAGTTGTCTGCATCTGCCAACCAGTCAGTGGCAGTTTACATCCATGTCAGTCCAGACTCATGTGATATATATGGTGAAGACTTTGAAGGAACTGAATAAGAAGTTATTATTTGGCTAAATGGATGTTAGAACTATATTGATGGTACATTTACACCGATCAGCCTTTTGACCACCTGGGCACCCTGGTAGTCATAACGTTATGCAGCCCCATATGCAACAAACTGCGATACACTGTGTGTTCTAACCCCTTTCTATCAGAACCAGCATTAACGTTTTCAGCACTTTGAGCTACAGTAGCTGATCTGTTGGATCAGACCACACGGGCTAGCCTTTGCTCCTCAAGTGCATCTAGCCATCACAATTTGCTCTGTCTCTCTCTCGCTTTAACAAACTACATTTGACTGCTTTCTGGTTACCACTCTTTACATTTATGTCTACCCAGGGCAATGTAAATTAAATTATGTGAATTTCACTTTTTCATGGACATTATACAAAGAAAAGTGTATAAGGAAACAGGGCTCTAGCAGCAGCAGCTCAGCAGCAGCTCAGCAGCAGCAACGCAGCAGCAACGCAGCTGGCAGGCTCTCAAAAATATAATGCATATTGCTGGTGCGGAAGCGTAAAAATATTTTTTTCTAATATATTTTTTTCTAATATATTTTTTTCTAATATATTTTTTGTGTTTAATTTCAAACTGTGCTGTGTTGGTTTTTTTTTTGTTATGTGTTGTGTGTGTGTTGTTATGTTTAAAAAAAGCACTAGCAAAGTAGGTTGACCTAGCAGAAAGCAAAAAAGCACTAGCAAAGTAGGTTGACCTAGCAGAGCCAATATTTATGTGTATTTTAACCGGATGAAGGATTTCAGTCATCCGACGTCTGGATCTTAAGTTATCAGAGAAACAAGCTAAGCTAACGTTAGCGGCAGTCCGCCGTTTGATTTAGAGAGGAGGAAAACTCTGCGGATAATTCGGCTCCTGGTAAAAACCTTCTGTGAACATCTCACTCCCAACTGGGAGAGGCTGACTTGTCTTTTGTTATTGTTTTTATGTGAGAAACCCCCTTAGCGGCAGAAATGAGTGTGTAATCTGTACCTTCTCTTGAGAAGCTGGAGGGCTGAATCTTCTGGCACAGACAAGGAAGGAGTCAGGTTGAGGTTTGCTGTTCTTTACCTCGGGATCGTCACCCAGAACAATGTGGTCAAACAGACTGAAGAAGTCTTTGTGTTGGCTCGTCTTCAACTTGAACGTTGCACCAGCTGAGCTGGTTGCTACTGCAATGGGGATGTTGTGCTTCTGCAGATGGTGCACCAGTTTCTCCACACCTAGTGGTACACATTTTGCAAAACGAGACAATATATCAGTTTGTCACTGTACAAGGCTAATGTTTTCAATAAAAAAACTCTTCATATGCTCCTTCCCAGACTTTAAATGTTTTTATTCTTATTTTTAATTTAAATGGTAATCAGTGAGCAGAGCAGAGTCGTGGGAGGATTTCGATCTACAGTGTTAAGAATGACAGTCAGTAAAACCTATAATAAAAACTTCCTCAAGGAACATACTCCTTTAACTTGCCTGTTAGGTGAAGCAAACATGGACATTGAATACATCTTTGTGCTGCTCCATGCTACCACTCCACCATAGGTTACAGCTGAATCCCAGTTCATAAGTCCACATATCTATACTATAGTATATGTCACAAATGCTTGAAAAGGCTGCCCCATGGAATAGTGGAAGCAAAATGTCAGGATGTGAAATAAGGTAAGCGATAGACTGAACAAACCACAAGAATGATTGAGGTTACCATTTTGGTCAATTTTGGTCATGTTTACTTTGTGCAAAATTGGTGATAATGTTAATAGTTAATAGCTGCATTTCCATACTAATAATGAATCATATTGCAATCTCAATATCTGTCAAAATAATCGCAATATGACTTTTTTACCATATCATGCAGTCTCCATCAAGTCCAACCCTAGCTGCGAGCTTATTTTGATTAATTAATTAAATAATCTATTTAACTTTAATTCACTAAGTTAGATGAGGAAAAACTGCAGTTTCAGTTGCTCTTCTCAGCTGCACACAGAGTAGACCGGCTATGTAAACGAACCACAGAGAGGCTGCGATAGCAATACAGTCAGACGGAGTGTGACATCATTCTCTGCTCAGGACACCATGATTCTATTAAATAGGAAGAACAGGTCTTAAGGATCATTAGACTCACTAGTCACCATTAGGTAAAGTAGCACAGTGGATTAAAAGAACACTCAGTCAGAAATTATCTCATGACTCAACATATATACAAAACTTAAATGTCAAAATCAAGCTATCACAGTAGACACCTACTTTAATTGGTTATTGCTTATTTTTCACCTTTTGCAGAAAAAAATAATAATCCGAAAATAATTGTTGACTGCAGCTTTAGTACTGAATATCAAAAGTACATATTGCACGCTGTATGCACACATGTACAACAGAAGGAGCAGCACTCCCATGTAGAATAAAGAGGACAGCAGCCCACACAAGAGCTAATGATAGGCCGCTCTTGAGCTAAGAACAAATCAGTTGCATTTGACTGCTTTATATTTCTGCTTTCTTTTGTGAAAGGCCTAAAATATGGCACTGAATGTCAAATGTGTGTGTGGTAAATCAGTCGTACCTGGCATGAGTTTGGCAAAGGGAAAGATCCTTTCTTGTATTTGCCTGCTTTCAGCCAGGAGTTCCTCAGCTGTCAGTGGAAGCTCTAAAGTGTCCCGAATAATTTGGCAAGCTTCCAGCGCCTTTTTACCCATCACTGACGACTTCACGTCCCATGTGTACTGCTTTCCAAAGCGGTCACATATTTCCTGGAAGGACACAGTGTACAGTCGCTCTGTGTCTGAAATGAGAGAATGCAAAAAAGAAAATGAATAGCTTTCAATTAAGTAATTTAAGCTTGAATATAAATGGAATCTTTGGTATACTGCCACATATTTTAGCCTGAAAATGAACATATGAGACAGAACATTTGGCTGTGACCTCAAACTGTAAGTACAAAGCAAATGTATGGCCCTTATGTTGTAAAAAGTGCAACATTTAACATTACTTTCTTATAGAAAATATAACTCACACCAAACCAAATTTAACATCTGAAAATTACATTATCAAGATTAAATATACCTTAAATGATAGCTCACAGATAATACAGTCCCAAACTGTGTTTAGGATAAAGCTAAACATCATTAAAAAATAAGGTAATTTAAAGTGGCCGGGCTTAGTGGTAGATCTATAATTGCCAAGTATGGCGTTATAAATGTTTACGCTGGTCATTAGATGCAAATCTTGAATTCGGCTAATGTCTATTTTATAAATAAGTTCTTACTGTCAGTGAAACCTCAAGTTTTCGAAGTGGGTCACTTTCGAAGTGGTAAACATTTGGGGGTAATTTAACATGCAGGTCAACCAGGGTAAGCAATGGTAAACGTTGAATTGCTACCATTTGTAGCACACATTTCTGTTTTAGATGTATGCCGAATTCACTCGTACATTGTAACGTTATAAAAATACAATTAAGTAGTGTTTGACGTGACACGGTATTTTAGCCATGTTCAAAGAAATCACAAAATTCTAGTTTTTTTCCACGGAGTTCGGCATGCGAACACCTCACAGTGAAGGATTACGGTCTCTGAATGAGTTACTGTATTAACATAGCTTTAGTTTGGGTGCAGCCTCTAATGAAATTAACATAGCTTCAAGATTACACACAAAATAAGTTTAAAGACCTAATAATAATCCATCCATATCGAAAAGGACATGGCTCACAGGTTTGTAGGAGCTGCTTGACACAGACATGTTTCACTCATAAGTTATTAGTTCCGCGTCGCGCGTGACGTTAGGGGGACAAAAAAAACTAAAGCTGGTATATGTGCGATAGCATAAAACACGCTGCTTATAACGTGTAACTGTATAAATAACATTTTAACACGTTATTTACATAACCTATTCAGGTAAAATTAACCATTAAAGAAATAATTTTAGTCTTAGGGTTAGGGTTAACTGAGCTTCAGCCTGTCGGGATGCTTTTTAGTCGTCCCACCGCAATGACTCGTGGGAAATGAAGTCCACATTGAATTCCCGTGGCATTTGTGTTTTTAAACTTCTCAAGGACCACCAGAATCAACAAAACAAACTCCCCTCAGTTGTCACCTTCGTGTACAGATCCCACAATGTGCCTGTTAAGTGTCTTGTTGTTGTTTTTACGAGTAGCATAAAGGAACTACAAACGTAATTTTAATTCTACAACCCGTTGTAAAATTATATTTAAATTACCTTGTATCCTTTTTATTCTTTGAATACTTAAAACTCAGTTCAGCGTACATGTTAGTAGCTTGAAACTGGTACATAGCTTTGGTAAAAGTCCTGCAGATATTACTGTTACTGTTATATGGAATTTTACTTCTTTACTTGACTCATACAGTGGCAAGAAAAAGTATGTGAACCTTTTGGAATTTCATGGTTTTCTGAATAGATTTGTCATAAAATGTTATCTGATCTTCATCTAAGTCAAGGGTATTGACAAATAGAATGTGTCTAAAATAATAACACAACATTTTTT